ACAAGGCGTTATCATTATTTTGTCGAAGTCCCGCAACCGGATGCAATTTCGAAGATGTCCGCCATTATGGGTATTGTAGAGCTATCAACGAGTCAAAAGAGCCATAAATTATGAGTGGAGTAGTTTCGAAAGAATGTTGGACTGGACGGTGAAAACACGAAAGCGGCAAGTAATAAACGAGAGGTTTTTATTCGAACGGCGTTAAAGGATTGACCTGTTCCACGTATCGCGTGCAGATGCTCTCCTTCCATGTTCCTTTTCGTTTAACGTGCCACGGCCGCGGGACATCGTTCATCACTCTGATGCATAAGCCTCCATAATGCTTGACAGCGAGCGACGAGATGACCGTACCAGGCCGCGGACATTTCCTTCTCGCGTGGCTGAATTAACGCCTCGTCATTAGCAGCCTGTCTGAAACTACCTGATCGTAGTTTCAAACTTCCATATTCCATGCCACAACATTACGCCGTGCTTTTGTCGGGTGACGTACCTTTCTGACCGAACTACGTATCTCACCAAATTTTCGTTCTTTCATGTACAGATATCTAGCAAGTAGCGAGGATTTTTGAAAAAGTTTTGTGGAATGTGGATTTAGGAAATATTGAGATTTGGAGGGATGGTCTGGGAATTTGGGAAGGTTTAGATGGGAACTTGGAGTATTAGGGAATTTAGGGATTTGGAGGATTTGGAGATTCGGACATTTGAGAATTTGGAAATTTGGGAAATTTGGGATTTCGAGATTTGGGGTGTTGAAAAATTTGGGAATTTGGGGAATTGGGAATGTGGAGACTTAGGGGGTTAGAAATTTGGGGATTTGGGAATTTGAGAACTTGGAGATTTGAGAATATGGGGATTTGGAGATTTGATTGTATTTGGGTGGATTCAGAGATGTGTTTGGATTGTTTGGATTGCGGTTATTGGTTTATTGGAATAGTTGGAAGTACGGCGATTTGGGAGGCTTAGAAGTTGGGAATTTGGGAATTTGAGAATTTGGGAATTTGGGAATTTGGGAATTTAGGAATTTGGGAATTTGAGAATTTGGGATTTTGGGAATTTGTAAATTTGGGGATTTGAGAATTTGGGAATTTGGAGATTTAGTGAGCTGAGAATTTGGTGATTTGGAAATTTAGAAAGTTGAGAATTTGGGAAATTAGGGATTTGGAGATTTGAGAATTTGAGGATTTGGAGATTCGGTGAGTTGAAAGTTCAGAAAGTTGAGAATTTGGGAATTTGGAAATTTAGAAACTTGATATCAAACTTATCCTAAAGAACTCATTCATTCCACTAATTAGCATATTACAACTTACATACCAATTTCGTAAAGTATAATATTATAATACATAACCTACTCGAACATTTTCACAATCAGGAAACAATATATAATTAAACAAATCCGAGTTTAAAATTACTCCTCATTGACACACGTTCATCTCAATAATCGAATAGAATTTATAAAATACAGATTTATTATGCGATATTACCAAGGAAAGCAACTAATGCAAGTAGACTGAATAATTAGTTCGCGTCTAGACCGACTATTTTTGTTGCTTTTAGCAGCACTATTTACCCGTCTGTCTAGGGAAATAATTTATTGTTTTGTCAACAGCTTGGAGACTGCAATAACCTCGTGATCGATCAATTGACCACGTTAGACGCGTCACAATAAAATAGTCGCGTTATCTTTCCGTGCGTGCATGCCGAAGCATAAACAAAAACATTATTTCACAACGCTTTGATATCTTTCTTAATAATTTAGACACTGTTTCAATCGTTGTCTTTTAATTACATTCGCCGTGACCGATAGCTGTACGTATATACAAAGAGAAATATTGAGTCAAGAGTCAAATATGATTATTGTAAGGAAAATTTGAGGAGTATGACTGAGAAAGCCTTTCAATCATGGATTTTTATGGACTTTTGAGGATTTGAATATTTGGAGGTGGAGAAAGGATATGGAAACGTAGGAATTTTGGGGCATAAGTTTTTGGGGACATTGTAATTTGGGGATTTATTGATATGGGAATTTAAGGATTCGGAGACATAGGAAATTGTGGACTTGTGAACTTTGAGGATACTAGTAGTTTAGGACTTGAGATTTGGAGATTTGGGGAATTTAAAATTTGAAAACGATAGTGTTTTGAGGGTTGAAAGTTTGGGAATATATTGATACTGACATCTAGGGATTTGGGTATGTGGAAATTTGAACATGTACGAATTTGGAGATGTATTAGGGATCTTGAAATTTAGGGAGTTTAGGATATTGATCACCCTCAGATTTTCAAGAAATTTAAGAATTTAAAGATTAAACCTACTTGTATAACCAAATTGAGATTGAACTTGGAGACCTAAAAATGTGGGAATCTAGAAATTTGGGACATAAGGATTTAAGGATCTAGACATTTGGACATAGGAATTCAGGGAGCTACAAATTCTAGGGTGTACGTACTCCTTGAGATTTGAGATGTTTTAAATTTTTGTGACCTTGCAATTATTGAAGGCTTCGTGATTTGAAAATCTGGACATGAAACCCTAAGAGACAAGTAACGGTTCCTTAGCCTTTTGTTGCTGCTATTCCAAAATCCGCGTAGCACTACAATAATTACTCTACATACGTTACTACAATCGTGTTCGTATGAAACACGTTGAATTGGAATTAGGACGTACGCCGTAGTTCCACAGTCATAAGGGTAAGCTCAGTGCGATTCGCAGTTCGTTGCGAAACAGGGGAAGACATAAGATCAAAGGAGCACTAATCACGTTCGACGTCCGTCAGTCATTGAAATTCAGCGATTCCTCGTGGCTTTCCGCAAATCTAACCGCGGGAGTAGTTGGTCGACGCGTAGAAGCGGACGACACTGATCGATAGGTTCCTAACGGACGGTTGAGGGGTTGTCGAAGCGTTGTCTTTTAATTACATTCGCCGTGACCGATAGCTGTACGTATATACAAAGAGAAATATTGAGTCAAGAGTCAAATATGATTATTGTAAGGAAAATTTGAGGAGTATGACTGAGAAAGCCTTTCAATCATGGATTTTTATGGACTTTTGAGGATTTGAATATTTGGAGGTGGAGAAAGGATATGGAAACGTAGGAATTTTGGGGCATAAGTTTTTGGGGACATTGTAATTTGGGGATTTATTGATATGGGAATTTAAGGATTCGGAGACATAGGAAATTGTGGACTTGTGAACTTTGAGGATACTAGTAGTTTAGGACTTGAGATTTGGAGATTTGGGGAATTTAAAATTTGAAAACGATAGTGTTTTGAGGGTTGAAAGTTTGGGAATATATTGATACTGACATCTAGGGATTTGGGTATGTGGAAATTTGAACATGTACGAATTTGGAGATGTATTAGGGATCTTGAAATTTAGGGAGTTTAGGATATTGATCACCCTCAGATTTTCAAGAAATTTAAGAATTTAAAGATTAAACCTACTTGTATAACCAAATTGAGATTGAACTTGGAGACCTAAAAATGTGGGAATCTAGAAATTTGGGACATAAGGATTTAAGGATCTAGACATTTGGACATAGGAATTCAGGGAGCTACAAATTCTAGGGTGTACGTACTCCTTGAGATTTGAGATGTTTTAAATTTTTGTGACCTTGCAATTATTGAAGGCTTCGTGATTTGAAAATCTGGACATGAAACCCTAAGAGACAAGTAACGGTTCCTTAGCCTTTTGTTGCTGCTATTCCAAAATCCGCGTAGCACTACAATAATTACTCTACATACGTTACTACAATCGTGTTCGTATGAAACACGTTGAATTGGAATTAGGACGTACGCCGTAGTTCCACAGTCATAAGGGTAAGCTCAGTGCGATTCGCAGTTCGTTGCGAAACAGGGGAAGACATAAGATCAAAGGAGCACTAATCACGTTCGACGTCCGTCAGTCATTGAAATTCAGCGATTCCTCGTGGCTTTCCGCAAATCTAACCGCGGGAGTAGTTGGTCGACGCGTAGAAGCGGACGACACTGATCGATAGGTTCCTAACGGACGGTTGAGGGGTTGTCGAAGCCTTGACCCTGCTCTTCCGTCGGCAGCTTTAATGCCCGCGGTCAGCGGGAGCCGACGCTCTACTCGCTGGTCCGGATCGGGGCTCAGCTGTCTGCTCAGATAGGAATCTGGTCGGAGCTTAATGACGGCTCGTGAAGGACGGGTATCGAAGCCCGCAGCACCGACCAGAAGAAGAAGAAGGGTTGCTGGAACGCGGGAGTCTGGCGTGTCACATCAACGGCGCCGCGAAATCTACGACCTCGCTTTTACCAAACGCATCGGATTCTTTTCGGTTTCGTTCTTCCTACCTCCAGCCACCGTCTTACACATGTACAGGGTGTATAAGAAGTAACACTATACATTCTACACCTCTACATCTGCTCCCTCTAAAAATCGCGTTCACCTTCAAATTTCAGGGGACATTTCATTTTCTGTATTCTGATCGTCAGAACATAAAGTCTTCAGCAAAAGCTTACTATTACGCTCTTAGAGCATCACCCTCTAAACTTTAGAGGTTTAGCTTTAGAGTCTAAAACATGAGAAAGTCAACTACTTTGCTAAAAAATTATTTTAACCCCTCACCCTCTGATACCATAACGCACATGCTAGTCCATATGTCACCGTACTCGTCCTTTCATCCCAATTCAATTTCGGGTTCAATTCTGATCTTATTTACTTAATCATGGCTAAATATAGGATGTGCATAATACAACATACTCGAACAATAATTAGGTGTGATCTTCTTAGGAAATTGTAGCTTAAATAGTTAAAGATACACAAGAGAATCAAGGTAAGATAATGGAAGTGCTTGCAGAAGAACGTAAAAAATAAAGCTATGAAAATTTCTATGAAGCTTCCCTCCTTCCTTCCCTTTAACTTTGTGCAAACTATCTACGACTGAATATTGCAATTATGCATATCTGACACATCATCAAAGTCTATTTTCTTAAAAATGAAAAGTCGAAAGAACTCCGTGGAAAATTACTTACTTTTCCATGTAGCATCTCTTGTGCTTCCGTTGTTCTTCAACCTTAACTTATCAGTAATGAAACTTAAACATCTTTCAGCCAAACAGTTCCGAGCCATGGTTCATTTGAGACCTTTTATCTTTTTACAGGATAAAAAATTTGACATTCAATTTCAAGGTCGAGGTCACTTTTTGCAGGAGCCTTTATTTATCTTCACTGATCCAAATATGTCGAATCATGCTACACATCACTTCACAGCTTTATATGTCAGCTTTGGATGTAGTCAAGAACAAATTGTTACTGGGAAATATATTTAAATGATAAATTATAGCTAATTATCGCGAATCGGTTTGGGGGAGACAATTGACAATCATACTTGTTTTTTTACGGTTTTCCTTATTTACGTAGAATGCAGTAGCTGCAAAAATATAACGTGGTCGTAAATCTCTTTGATCTGTAAACGACACGTGTTTCGTTCACGCTTCACTGACTCGAAAGATGAGAAGTCTTGATAATGAGCTTCAGCCGATGTTTTGTACCGTAGCTGTTGATGACCTGACGTGAGGATATTTATTCATCGACGTGTGAATGTGTATTCTCCACTTTATTGCTAACGAGTATTTATGCAAAGTTACAAATTCAAAATATTCACAATATAAAATTAATTTTCATCTCGATACAGCGACAAGAGTTTTTGTGGGGAAAATAGAAAAAGTTGACAATTACATAAAAATTTGAGGACTGAAGGTTTGCAACATAAAATAGACGTACAATTTGACAACTTCCAATTTCCAAATTTTTATGTCACCTTTGAACAATAATTAAGATCATCATACAACGTAAACACTAATTCTTGCGTATTTTAGTTTCATCACAGTATTAGTATACTAACTAACCTAGGGGTTGGAACTATGTAAGGAAAGGAAGAATAAAGCAAAGGTTCGTTTCAGAAGTTTTTGGAGACTCATCAATCTGCTCGTGTGTCCATGGCATATAAATTAACTAAACAACAGACGGCAATAATAGGCAACCTTAAACAGTAAATAGAAAATTCCAGTAGCCGGGCGGAAGGCAAAGTAGATCAAAGGGCACCGACCAACTTGAAGCTTCGGCTCAGTCAGTCCTCTTCCTCTCAGAAAGACTGCAGGGGGAAGGTAATAGATTGCCTCTTTCTGACTTTTATTGTACCAGAAAAAGCTTGTCAGATTCAACGCGGAGACCCCGCCACTTCCCATTACGTAGCATGAGAATGGGCGTTGAGGTGAAGACGAAAAGGTGGAGCTGGGTTGTGCCACGTTAGAAAAGGGAGGAAATGTTAAACGATTCACAAGAATTTTTCATGGACGACAGGTTGTCGACGGGATACAAAAAAAATTATTTATCGTTGCCACCGATGTGCCCTCAACAACGAGATGGTTATACATGATTTATTTCTTACGAAGGATACAATACCATTAGAAACGGTTCCTACAAATGTAACCAACAGTCATTCTGTTTTGAGCACTATGCGATTTGTGTACATTTTTACGTATAAAATTATGATACGCTTTATAACGTTTTTTCTAAGACACATTTATAGCATTGTATGTCATTTGATAATAGTATTTTTTACAGGTACAGGTACGGTTAGGTACCTGTTAGTAGTATACGTACAATTAGAGCTTGTTTATTTTTGGTCCATAAGGAATCAAGTTATACTTTAGTTTGATCTACGTTTTGTATTAAAATACAGAGTGATGATAACTTTAATTGCAAGTATCAATAACATTGACTGATAACAATAATTTCATCAATAGTTACATTTATTAATACATAAAAATTATTACAGTGTCCATAAATTGAATGAACCGAACAAGTGTTGAAATAGCCATCTTCATTACCATACACAAATTTTGACAAGTATAACAAATTTTCAAATTTAATTTTTTTTAAATCAAAGACAAATATAAAGAAAATATGAGGCAGGATTTTGAAACACCCCGTATAAAGTCGAAAACGTATTCTTCAAAGTACCATCGAAAGACTTACAAGCAAAGACGTGTAAGTTAACGTCCTAAAATACGAACATTGCATGGCAGTAAACATTAAATAGACATAAATTTTATGGACGAATAATATTTATTAAGGCAAAGGACAGAAAGTTGAACGAACGAAAAATACGGTGAACCATTTTCCCCCCGTAGTGCGTAAAAGCGAGCCGGTGTCAGCATATCCGAGCGGTACGCTAAATTTGTCAATGCCCGGCGAAGTATTTACATATATCCCTTATTATCGTTGAAACGGTACGAGCTACGGTGTCCAAGCAGGAGTCAGATGTCTTGGCGGAGATAAAGGCTGGCGGGATCAGATCGCAAAACAGCGGAAACAATCGCTTGATTGCCGGTCGTCGAGACTGGTGAAACGGAGATTTCAAGATATTCCATAAATGTAAGACGTTCGGAACGACCGCGGTTCCGGCTGGCAGCGTTGAAGAGAAGAGCAAGGGTTGGGGGCAGAGGGGGAGGCAGCAGGGTGGAGAGAGAGGAGCACGTAGCACGAGGGCCATCAATCGTCTGGAGACGTAGACGAAGAGCCGTGGGCCACGGCAAAGCGGACCGACATCAGTCGTCGTCGTCGTTGTCTTCGTCCTCTTCGGCAATGCAAGAGACGAGAAGGCCGAACAGACACGTAGACGCGCCAGCAGAAGCCGCTACTTAGCAAGCAGGCATGTGTCTTAAACCTGGCTCGGTCTCCCTACCCTCCGCCATCAGCAGTAGCCTATCAAAGAGCCGCGTCTCCTTTGGCATTCTTCAGTTGTTAACATTTAACAGTGATGCTCCTCCACGATTTTTGTCGCGCATCCGTGGACTCCTTTCCTCCCTTGTTCGTCCTACTCGGCCGCCTGTTCTCGCATTCTATAACGAGAGACGATTGAAACTAATGTTAGCAGAAGGATGTTTTTACTCACGGTTTTTGCCCGGCCGGGGAATTTACCGGTACTTCGTATCACTGGGACACAGAATCGCGTGCTAAATTATGTTTAATCCACGCGTGATAAATGCTTGGCTGTAGCTCGTGCATACCCAATCAACGAGTCGCATGAAAAATGATCCTCTTCTGGTCATTATACGTCCGGATCTTGCTTGGATAATTTATATCGCGGCTGCCATACCGCTCATACGTGGTTATTTTCATTTTACAAGCGATACGCCGTTCAGATTACGTCTTATCGTTTACAGAATGGACGCTTTCACCGACTAATCGAAGAAGAATTTCTCCTTTATTTATTTGTATTTCTCTTTCGAGTTATTACAAAACACCGATAAATGCTCCGCGATTAATTGTCGTCGGAGTATGCGACAATTATACGTACATGAAAATGTTCGGGGAATTATCGGCCATTATCTCTGTTCAGCTTACGCTTCTTGATTCTATCGAAAACAATTAATGGCATTGAATACGAATGACGTATAGAGAAGATTCGTTGTACTTATTCTGGAAAACTGTCGCATATTTTATTAACGGTACCAGAATAGTAATTTTGTAATAAATTTTATAAATAGTTCGCATGAGATAAATGTATGGAATGGATTAGATCATGCAAACAGAAATATAAGAAATTTTGCGGAGCTATCAGTTTGCCATATTTGTTGATAAGTCTTGTCAATTTTTTTAACAGATATCGCGTTATCGTTTTGACCCATAAATTCAAGCAATACTTTTTTGGATGTAGTTGTATGTGTATTCCAATTTTGATGGCGTCATTTTCAGTATTTGACCTAAATATTGGGTATTTATTTTTAAGCATTTATCGCAATTTATGTAATGATCTAAATTTGGGATTTATTTTTACGCATTTATAATAATGTAATAAGTTATATAACTAAATTGAAATTGACCTTTTGGTTTTTTAAAGTAGAGTGGGTTGAAGGATACTTGATGTGTAATTGAATATTTGATCAAACGAGCAATCCTTATAACATATTCGCTCTGAAAAATTTCAGAAATTTAGGATAAGTGTATTTTTTAAAGTAAAATTCACAAATCTGTCGACAAAGTCAACAGACTATCCACTGTAAAAGAAAAGACAAGAGAATAATGTTTGAAATATATTCGAAATGTTTAAACATAACTAACAAACAGGATGCGAAAAACGTGGTAACATCCTAAAATTCGGCTACGCTTCCACGAGAAACTAAAGTGGGGAGCTACCCTCTTCTGAGGTCTACGTTCGCCTTTGATTTCGCCGCTGAATGAGCATTCAGGGTCAATTTACTACTTGCTGTCTATGACAGATCTAAATTCTAGGCCCCATGCACTTGGACACGATGTGTGTTTCGACAGACCTTAAGTACTTAAGATAGTTTCGAAAGAAACCAGATGCACTCGTGAAAAGTGCGGAAACCATCTTGAAAGAGATTTAAAACAGAAATCTGCTTCTTATACTCCAAAATGGTGGACATGCAAATATGTTATTGCCATGTATTCCGTAGTGTAAATTATAGTGTTTCGAATTTTGGATGTGGAGAATTCATTCACCCATATTTTTATATCGATTTTGTAAAATAATTAAAATTGTTCAAGTCTGATTTTCTTTGCAAATACTTTGTAATATATAAATAAAGATTGACGGGCATATTTCGCCATTTTACATAGTTTTGCATTGTTGCTATTATTATAATTTGTCCAACCCAGTCGTTTGTATTGTAATAAATAAAAATTGCAATAAATTTATTTTCTTTGGTTAAAAACACTATGACTATATGATGTGTTCCAATCAGAAAGGTAAACATTATTGGTTTGAGTTCTGGTTAAACATATTTTATTTAATTATTACTTTGCTACTAATATAAATGAAAAAGATATTTGTTACAAATTTTGCACTGTTACTATATATTTTATTGAGACTTCTTTTTTTATCTATTTTGTAAATTAATTAAGGAGTGCAAAGGATTAAGATTGTGGACCTCTGGTGGCGAAACTGAGAAACTTCAGCGGTCCTCGTCTCTCCTGCGAGATAAGACAGCGACAATTTCGCAAATGCAAGGATTTTTAAGTGAAGAAGCAATATTTTCTTATATTCACCAAAATATTATTTATGCTAAATCTATATAATATTATTTGTATAAAGAGTCTATTAAGAAGTTTTAAAACTTAAATTGCACAATCCAGCTCAGTATCAATCACTTAAATTGTCTGCAATATATACAAATATGTAACAGTATAAGTTTAGTTAATTTTAAAACCAATGTGTGGATAAAATACGCTTGCACTATGAATTACGAAATAAAACAGAATTTCTATGACTTATGAAAGCTTTGTACCGAAAAGAAGTTGGGGTTTCATGTTAGGTTTGCACGCGATCTGAGAATTGAACTACTCTGAATAATTTTATGCAGTATACAGTTATATTAGTCTGGATAAATGTTATCAGTGTAACGACTACAGATCTGCAGTATTCCATTTAGCTCGTTTCTTATCACAATTTCTTTCCACTCTCCTTGCTTATCTGCAACTACAAAGCGATCTTCGCCAGCAGTCAAGGAGGTCGTAAATCAAAATATGAAAAATCGATACGATTGATATCACGTGGCTCTGAATAACATATATTTTCAATTGGTGTCGATGCTACCCGGCGATCAAATTCCGTGTTCTTTCATGCTCTGACATATTTACGACTTTCCTTATCAGGACTTGAGATAATCACGTGGTTTTTACATTTGGGCTAGTAAGAAACATGTTCAAAAAACCTTGACCTACAGATCAGTTCTATAGTTTCGTGTACACAATTTGTTCCTTGTATCACATAATTTTCATAGTAACAGTTCGTTATTAATATCCAGTTACTAATTAATTGTTATTCGTTATTTTTACAATTGGTTAAAACGACATATCAAGTTTTATACAGATGGTACATAATCTCATATACTTAATGTTATTATTGCAACTGCAACAATAATTATTAATATTTTACATATAATTATACATTTGCTTATTTATTACTTTCAGGATAAAATAAAAAATTCATGAAAGATATTCTGAACTATTACCAACAGAAAAAGAAATCACAAATATCTCAAGACGTATAATTAAGGTTTTCATATTTCTTGTACGATAGAAATCACTTCAGTTCCTTCTGATATAACCATAAAAGAATAATCATTCCAGGTTTCATAGGAACCGAGAAAATGCTTTTTAAGCACATATGGCACGAATTTTTACCACGTGCGCTCACGATGGTAGATATCCTCGACTTGCAAGCTTTCATGCTGCAAACGCTATTTCTATTCGCGCCGATAACTTTAATATTTCTTATTGTTGTATTACTCACAGATTGCTACAAACTCATGATTGAGTAAGGTATGAAAGGTATGATCGAGTTCATACTTTCCTTAGTTGGCTTACATACTTGATTTTATTATAAGCACATCGTTTTCAGTTACAATTTTAAACCTTTACTAAAAATGACTAATCTATAACTGCATGACTTTGTTTCGATCACTCACTACATTAACGTGAATTTAATTCGATTAACCTTGTAATTGAACTTATTGAATACATACTTTCTTTAGTTGGCTTACATACTTAATTTTATTACAAGTACGTCGTTTTTAGTTAAAATTTTAAACCTTTACTAAAAATGACTAATCTATAACTGCATGACTTTGTTTCGATCACTCACTACATTAACGTGAATTTAATTCGATTAACCTTGTAATTGAACTTACTGAGTACATACTTTCCTTAGTTGGCTTATATACTTGATTTTATTATAAGCACGTCGTTTTCAGTTAAAATTTTAAACCTTTACTAAAAATGACTAATCTATAACTGCATGACTTTGTTTCGATCACTCACTACATTAACGTGAATTTAATTCGATTAACCTTGTAATTGAACTTATTGAATACATACTTTCTTTAGTTGGCTTACATACTTGATTTTATTATAAGCACGACGTTTTTAGTTTAAACTTTGAACCTTTAGTAAAAATGACTAATATAAATGACCAATATAAAGGAAAATAGATGATAGGTCTCAATTTTGAACTAAATTTCGAATTAGCCAACGCCTACATCGTGACTCGAGCAACCAGAGACTCGTTGGTCTTTCACGGTAAAACGCAGGGAGGAAAGGTAACACACAGGTTAACTTGTGAATCCTCCGGCTCTCGTAATGCTTTCGCGAAGACAAGCAGGAGTTGCGGAGGTGGCCGTGACGTTTTTACGACGAGAATTCGTCTCTATAAAACTGTCTTGGCCGTCCTACGCTGCGTTCTGCCCCTCTTTCGCTCGTCCTTTCTTGTCCGGACTACGGTACACAGCGTTGATACAACGGGCTTGCCGGAAAGCGAAAATAGCTAGTCACTGCAGACATACATGTACAACCTGACGATGTTCGCGCTAAAATCTACATGAAGACCCTTGTAATGACACGGGACCCTGTATCAGCAGCAGGAGTTGTAATTTGCATTTTGTGGCTAATATGATGGATGAACACAACCTTCTTTGTTACATCCATTATCTGAATTATGTGTATGTAGTTCGCGTATAATACATACGTTCGCATGTAGTTCGTATATGCTATGTATTTAGTATAAACTCAATGTTATGGCTGATCACACAACGGTGGAGTTAATATACTAAAGGAGTGCGGAATAATTAAACCTCTGCCGGCGGATGTCGAGTCACGAGTGACCCACACGTCGACCTTTTATTCAAAAAAGCAGTAGAAGTCTCTTAGCCTGAACTAAATTAGATTTTTTAACGAAGGTAAATATAGCAACCAGCTTAGAATATTTTTAGTTAAATGCAACAACGAAAATAAAATTTTTTTAACGAAATATAGTATCAAATATAAAATATTCTTAACAAAATTTAGCATCAAATATAAAATATTTTTAATGAAATATAAC